AGTATTTAGTACAACATTATAGCTATCCCACATATTATTATGAGTATATCTAAATTCCACACATTTCCATCAACAAGAAACTCTTTAAAAGAGTAATATTATGCGTTATTCAATTATGTTTTTTTTTATTTTATCCATATACTATATACGTTAAGGTCAAAGTCATTTTTTTTAAATGTGTTGAGTGTTTAGACCGTTATAGAAATAAATCCGTCTGTCTTGTAACTGAACATTGTGAAAAACCAACAGATTTTAATAGGGATTTTTTGTGTACTAATAGCTTGAATTAAAATACGGCTAGGTTTTATTTTAATCGCTCAAGTATTTTCAAAGTCATGACATAAGGTCTCTATACAGCATACTCATACACAAAGCAAGAGTCACAAGGGTAACGTGAGTCTGAAATAAATAGAAACCAGCGAGCTATTTGAAGTAAAAATGTAAGTTATATACATAACTTTAAAAAGGTTAATTTCTTCAATTAATATTTTTTGACATTTTTGCATAATTAATAATAATAATATTAATTATGCAAAAATATCATTTTTGATATTTTATTATATATTTTGAGCTATATTTTTATAGCTTAAACTAATTGAAAACAAAAGTCGTATAAATAAAATAGCTAAGTTGTTAAATTCTTACTTTCAGGCTATACTTTAACTTAATTGACAAATAATATTTATTTAATGATTAAAATTAATTTGGCCTTTAGTTTTGTTTTTGTTAATTTAATATAACAATCTTTTTAGAAAATAATGTTTATTTTTTATATTACACACTTTAAAAAAGTTAGTTTAAAAATACAGATAATTCTAGATATCTAATAAATAATTCACTTCGTAGACATTTGTTGAATTATTGTAGGCTAGAAGCTCGTAAAACTTTGGAGGCAAAGTCCTCAGTGAAAAAGGCTTTGACCTAATGTTGGTGCAATGACAGGTGATTGTACATTGATAGTTTATTGCACTAAGATATATGTGATATAGATAGATTAAAAAAACCGGCCAAGTGCGAGTCGGACTCGCGCACGAAGGGTTCCGTACCATTATCTATAAAAACGCCAAAAAATCCACGTTTGTTGTATGGGAGCCCCCCTTAAATATATTTGGTTTTATTTTAATTTACTTATTTATTTTTAAAGTAAATATATAACTAAATAATATGTGAATATTTCAAGCGTCTACCTGTTGCCGTTTTCAATATAAAGCAAAAACGAGCAAAAAATCACGTTTGTTGTATGGGAGCCCCCTTAAATATTTATTATATTCTGCTTTTCAGTATTTGTTGTTATAGCGGCAACAGAAATACATCGTCTGTGAAAAATTGTAACTGTCTAACTATCACGGTTTATGAGATATAGCCTGGTGACAGAGGGACAGACAGACGGACGGACAGCGGAGTCTTAGTAATAGGGTCCCGTTTTACCCTTTGGGTACGGAACCCTAAAAATAAATAATATTACAAATAAATAACGTATTTACTTACATATTTTACCCTAACACTTTTTAAAATTCTTTCAAAATTGGCTATATTTTTTTGTTAATTACAATACCTGTATAACAGAAGTCTTAACAGAATTCCTGCAACATACTTTATATAGCTAAGTAATTAGTAATTGTAATAGCACTTAATAAGCAGTATGTTTTAATTACTATGCCTATATTATTATAATTGTTATTAAAAGGTCTAATAATATTAAAAAACAAAAGTTTGTTTGTTCAAGCCTACAAATAGTTCATGTGCTGGAGTGACCTGTCAGGTTAGTTTTATTCAAGGACATTGATTCCCATCCCTTGACAATGTTTTCTTAGACTTAATTGATATTAAATGAAAATGAATATTTATATTTTAAATGAAAAAGTTTTTTCTTATATTTTCGCGATTTTATTTTCAAAATCTATACAGTAAGCGTTAAATGTTACTGAAATTAATAAAGTGTTGTGTACTTATGTGGGTAAAACCCGAGAAAAGCCATGGCGTAAAATTAGTAGAGTAGCAAATGAATAATGTCAACGACCACGTCGACGTTATTCTGTGGCGAACGTTAAATATTAAAGAACAAGAAATACTCGCAAACTCTCGTATTAAAACATTTGAGTACAATAACATAACTAACAAAAGAATTTCTAGGAAAATTTGAACCTATAGTCTCCAGCGTACATATTATTAACCACTGCGCCAGACGTCGGTCTGATCATATCCGATTAAGGAGTAGAAGCCTGGTACTCTCAGATGCAGACACATTTAGACGCAAGCCGAAATTTCAAGCGTACTGTGAACCTTAGAGGGCAAAGTTCTTATTAGGGCGGGCCTTGACCTACCCCAACGAAGGGTTTGTTGCGGCGTAGAATATTAGGGAAACTTATAACGTATTGACCGAGTCTGAATTATTTTGTTATTTTTGTTTGATATATATTTTTAGAGTTATTTTAAATATTTGGATATAATTTAGTGTACCGTTTTAAAAGATTAATAAGCTTTCGTTTAGTAATTGTGTATTATTGAGCTTTAAAAATTTTCTCAATTTTGTAAGATTTCGATTTTGTATTTATCTTTAAAAAATGATATCCAATGACAAAATGTTTGTTATGTCTAAAAAAATGTATTTATTTAACCAAAGTCCACAAAAATAACTATTGGGAAAGAGTTAGTTCTAATTAATTTACCTATAATAGAAACACAACACCAAACAACTGTACATTGATGTAATATTCTGAGAATCGTTATTTTGCTTTTTGCTTGCTTTGATAATGTGAATTGGTACAAGCTTATTCGTAATTTTAGGCCGATTTGACTTAAACGACGTTATATACCTACATTTAATGCTTATAAAAATTAGTTATCATTATAAAAATATAGTTGATAAATGAATTAATAATAAAATAATCATAAAATGAGTTAAACATATATTAATAAATAAAATTTAGTATTTTTAGAAATATGTAGTTAGAAATTACAGTAATCTAAATGAATGTCAAAATTACATAATGCACATGAAGTTAAGAAAAATCATTCAATATTTTTGCTATCATTTACAACAACGTCTTACATTTTGGGGAGAAAAAAGTGCATATCATTATGCAAAAATTAAAAAATCTAAATTTCTATTTCAAGTGTCTATGAGCGTTGATAGTAACTTAATACTATCAGATGATAATTAAGTTTGCTCGTTAGCCCCTTTTCCTATAAAAAATCTAATATTTTTGTTATCTAGTTTTATGATTAAACTAGCGACTCACCCTCGCTTCGCTCGGGTTCGTCCCTATCTTGCTTCCCAATACGAACTTTCATCCCCTTTTCACCCCCATAAGGAATGATTTCCGGGATAAAAAGTACCCTATGTCCTTCCCAGGGTCTCAAACTATCTTCTTACCAAATTTCATCTAAATCGGTTCAGTAGATCCAAAGATTACGTCACAAACTCACAAACTTTACCTCTTTATAATATTAGTATAGATTACAATAATATTATATTCTTCAGATTTTGTAAATTTAATTTCAAGAAAAGAAATAGAAATAAAAAAAATACTTCAATTAATTACTAATTATTACGTATCTAATATTCACATTACTACGATTTCTTACGGATTTCTTTTTGAATATTTTTAATTTTTTTAAACTCTATACATTATAGAGTTAGAAAAAACTAAAAACTCTCGCCTTACATAAATATATCATATAAAGGGGAAAGCACAAGGAAATCTTGTTATAATATTTAAATTAAATTATATTAATGACTGCACTTACTTAAAACTGGATGCAATCGATCGACTTTCACCTCGCAATTTGGCAGACAAAAATAAAAAAGCTCAGTTACGTAGCGAGCTACGCCTTGTTACTAAAGATTAGAACGACGTAACACCGTAAAAGTATATTAAAAGCTGTAAAATAATATTTTTTATATAAAAACCTACATAATATTAATATTCATTATGTTAAACAATAAAACTTTGAAGAAATTGACCGTAAGAAAAGAAAAAAAGAAAATATTTTATATACGAATGTAGAGTAAGAAAAATACTACACGTTCACTTACAAATACTTTACAAGAACTAACTACGAGTACAAACAACAAGGCTTGATTTAATTGCAAAGACGAGAGCGCAAGCATCTTAGATCTCAATACTTATTCCTAATGAAAGGATGCGTTTATTCAAAACTCGTTTTACATTTCTATTATGAAATAAGAAATAGAGTGAACGTACCAATATATAATATATAATAAAATATATAAATATAAATATTTTACAAATATGTTTTTTCATTAAAACGAGTATCCGAGCAAATTGCATGTAAAGCATTAATTTTGTTCCTAGAAAACGAAAAGTGCTAGTTCTATGACAAACAGTACCTAAATCAATATAATTATTAGTACTTTTAGCAATAGCCAGGTTAGCATAATTTTTGATTATAAAAAGTTTTTATATGTTACTCTATTTTTATATATATGATATATATGAATAAATAATAAATTAAAAATATCTTATGGAAATACCTGAAATTATATTTTATTTTGTAAGTCAAGCATCAAGCAAGTCGTGCAACGTGCCAGTCTGCAACGTGACAGACACAAAGCCCCGTTACAAGTTATCAAAATAAATAAAATCATAGGTTTCTGCAAACTAACCTCGTTAATTAAATTAATTAACATTAAACTTGGTAATAAAAAAATATATTTTATACTAGATCCATAAATATTTAAAAATTATTAAATTAAATAAATGGCTATCGAAAAGGTTATATTAAAGTCATAATAAATTCGGATATTAAATTTTCTTCTATAATGTAACATCATATAATTCGGCTCTTTGAAAAATCTACTTTAAAAAAGTTGGAGCAATTTCAATTAATTATAAATAATTCTATTTTATACCACCTTAGTAAATATTGGATTAAAAAGTACATAGCTAACTATTAAAACATATATATTAAAAAAAAAACGTCCATTAAACTTTCTTTCCTAATAAAATAAGACATATCATAAAGTAATATTTTTAAAAAAATATATGAAAAAGTAGAGCAAGTGCCATTGTTGTGATAAAGTTGAGGTGCTCTCGCGGTGGTAGCGCTGCGCTTGACCGCTCGACGCTGGCAGGGCGACGCAAGGGCGCCGTGCGTCTTGCCGAAATTATTCGGGGCTCGCTGCACAATCGATTTTTCCCACCCGATGCGGAAAATTGTTCGGGGCGGGGCGGTGGGGGGCAGTGGGGGGGTGGTGGGTCGGTGGGGGGCGGGCGGTGCAGCGGGGCGGTGCAACGCAGTCCCGGCCGCCAGCAGACAGTAGGACGGCGTCGCCACTGCGAGTCGGTGACCAAGCGCTCAGCGCTCGCCGCACCGTGACATGTAGCGCGGCCGTCGCGCCGCAGTCTCGCGACAACACGCCGGTGGCGGCGCATCGATGCGCCTGCCGCCCGGCCCGACGCCACACACGATACACTGCTCTCTGTACAGACAACGTTACATCTGCGAGACTTCCACCCGTCGGATGGAACCCGTGCGCCGATTCGCAAGGTTAGACGAATATTTGAATGTGAGTGTTAGTGCGCCGCCCACCGACGATCCTGCGCGCCCTGCGCAACCTCGCTCTTCAGCCGTATGCGCACTCCGTACACCGTTATTTTATAGGTACGTCGCAAACGCGCAGGGAACCTCTTGTGACTCATGTGAGTCGGCTTACATCATTGTTATCGATGTCACTATCAAATTTGTCAAAAACATAATTAAAATTCACTCGATTTCATAATGCACTCGGAGATCTCGTTGATGTTGGTGAGCTCTATATTTTATGTTTGCTTTGAATTAGCACTAATATCTATGTCTTACATATATGTATATTGTAACGTTCATTCTTATAAATAGTTATTGTGTTTCTAGTGAAGTCACTATAACGACTAGACGAGTGCATTTCATTTTCCTTCAACCGTAGTGTGTATATGCAAAGTTGTTCTCAATATAGTTTTCATCATACATTTCTGCAAATGTAAAGCTTTTTTAGATCAATAATTGATGGTAAAGATAATTAAGGAAATGTCCACACAGCTATAATAGAGTGCACTTCACGTGCCGTAAAGGACACGTAACGTCTAGTCGCTACCCTCATGACTTACAATGAGCGCTTGTAGACAGATGCGCCTCAATAAACCAATTCGCTACGTATATACGCCAAAGACAATTGAAATATATATTTCTATCTTAAAATATATTAGATACAATTTATTTAAAATCTTACATAGAAACTTATAAATGTATATTATTATATATTAACTAAAATAATTGTCTTTGTTCTTAGAATATTCATAAGTAAAATATGCTATTATAATATAAGGCTTATCTCTAACTAATTATGAAACTTCTTATCTTTTCATGTTTTTATTATAAAAATAGTGGAATCTTTTTTTAAAATTAATTTAATTAATTAGGTTTTTTTGTAATCTTTGCTTTATACAAGTTTTTTTTTAAATACTTAAGAAAAAGCTTTAAAAGTGATATATAAGAACCTATTGCATATGGTCAAGGCTTATTGCCTTTCAGTGGCATTACAATAATACATATATTCATTCGCTGATCCGTCGTGATTGTAAACAAATACTTTTCATTACTGTACGTTATAGTTTTGTTCGTTCAATAACTGACGCATATTTTTTAACTATACATATATTATTTCATACTAATTTCAATACTAACTACTTTTTGCTTAATTTAGATTTTTAAGTAAACTATATTTTAAAATATTAAGAATATAAATATGATTTCCTCGAAGTTAGCTTTTGCTTTGTGTAAGAATTAGTAAAAAATATGTTTTGTTTTTCTTTTTCCTAAATTTGTGAATTATAGATCCAATATAATTATTTTAAATCTTATTTGACAAGTCAAATGCTTACATATTTCGTTTTCTTTATTGTTCATGTCTAGTGCATTATTTCACAACTTTGTCAAAAAGTTGCGACGGCATTTGTTTCTCAGACGGTTTCGATTTCTTATCTTCTTAAGTTTTTTAACCGAGACTAATGTCAAATATATTTTATAGATTGGTTATAGCTTAACTCATTTTTGGATTTTTTTACGAATTTAAAAAAATATTATTCTAGTTAAAAAATAATTTGTGACATTTCATATTCTAATTTCTTCTAAGAAATAACTAAAATACTATCCGTATGTAAGTAATTTCTTAAAAATAAGTAAAGCATCAATAACTTGGTGAATAATTAATTTACAGATGACATGATTACTTTAGGAAGAATTGTTTTGAAAAAATTACAATGAAATATTTACAATATAATAAATTAATATGTAGAAATAGTATATTATGTAGAGTTTGAAGATTGAGAAAATGTAATAGAACTTGTACAATATATATTACTTAGTAAGAAACTAACGCTCATTTGTCCAGAATATATTAAATTAAATGGGTAGAGTCCAGTCATTAAAAAACATTTAAGATCTGAGTTTTTAAATTTCCAACATACAAAGTGCAACGTTTAACTTTTTCAACTTTTGGGTAAAACCCTGGTGGTTTGGGATGAGCGTTAATCGATTTATTATTAAAATTTCCTCTTTCATATTGGTACTAGCAAAACCCGCGGCTTTGCTCGCCTTAAAACTACAAAAAAAACTCTACAAAGTTTGGTTTAATACAAAATTTCATACCCTATTTTATTCTCTTTTGGGATAAATTTCAAAAAATGCTAAAGTACGTGTTTATTAAATTGTATTAAAGAGTATTAATACCAAGTTTGAAGTAATTCTGATCATAAATATTTTTTGGGTTGTATTATAACATGTTTTCCCGTGAGAATGAGATAAACTCCGGCGGTAAAAAGTAGCCAATGTCACTCTCCAGCTCTCCAACTATCTCCTCACAAAAAATAACAAATCGCGCCAATATGTCACGCCGTTTTGACGTGAAAAGAGGACAAACAAACAAACAAAGAAACACTTTCACGTTTATAATATTAAGTATGGATTATGTCTATACTAGATTAAGATTTGTTTTATTCTTATCTTGTATTCATACCAAAGTGCCGTAAACAATGTATATTTATATGAAGATTAATTAACGTATTAATTTTGCATTCAATATTTTCAATAGAAGGTCAGTGAAATAATAACATACTTTTCAATCATAATTAAATTTTATTGAATATTATAGATAGACGGTTTTCTTTTATTATTTAAAAAGTAAAAAGTTCTTAGTTACAAGTTTAGCTTTGAAATTTCTGTTTCTTCTGCAGTATATTTTTTTCTCAACAAATATTTGTTTCTGCTGCCAGTCTCTAATTTTAAAAAATATATTAAATATGATAGGTATCTAGTAAAGTAGCAAGTGCATCTTTACGTATTATTTTTTTTCAAAATTCGCCTACATCGCCCCTTTCCACTAATAACACGTTAACGCCTCTTCGGATCTGGGTCGAGCCTTCTTCAGCAAGAATGATCGCCACTATCACTATATCTCATTAAAGGTGCTTTTTCATTTTATATTTTAACTTAACGTCCCAGAATGCTATGAAAATATTGAATCGCGTAATTTTTCGACATAGGCCATGATAATAATGAGATGAGAATCCCATTGTTATTATTTTTTAAAAGATATGTGTCAAAAAGCTTCTACATAGCATCTATGATATACATAAATAGCCTTATTCTTTACTGTTTAAGTATAATTATATTCCATACTTAATATTATAAATATACAAATATTTCTGCTATTCTTCTTTCACTCAGCATTGCGGAGTAACTCAGGATTGATATAATTTTTTTAAATAGAGTCTATGAGTTTTTACATGTGGCGTCTTAGAATATGTATTAGGATATGGAAAACTCTTTAAAAAACATAAAAGCTACATAGAATTCAAAATCATAAGGAAAGAAATTATTTCATTGCGTGGATTTTGTTTTAAATTTATATGGGGGCCTTAGGAATCCATTTACAATTGGCACAAATACAAATTCAGTACCTTTTTATTTTTAAAGTCGGATAATAAGACTAGACGTGACAGCAAGTGTTAATTAAACTTGGTACATCTCATATATTAAGTGGATTAAAATTCTCAAAGCACAGGTATATTGATCTTTGAACTCATACTTATATAAAAAAATAAGATAAAATAATTTTATACCTATTTAAATGCCGATTACAACTTGCGCTGACCTACCTCACTTCGGTATCAGCTACACAACGGAGATACGACGCTCGGTTGAGTACTAAACAAACAAAAATATGCGAATTTACTTATACAAATAAATTACCCATTTTTGTTATACTCGATTCGCATCTTTACTTGAATTATGAGATGTAATTTAGATATTAATATTTTAAATTGATTAAAGGATTTCCTATCATTACGATATTTCTATAATTCGTATGTTAGTGATTGGGGGTGTTCATTTATATGCTTCCTTTGCATAACATTATATATATTTTTTATATATAAATATTAATAACTTGGTGATTAATAAGTATAGGTGATTCTTTAAATTAACATAACTTTTATTTATAAACCGATTGAAATAATACAAATAGTAAATATTAAGTAAAGCTTATCACAATATATTAGTGGTAAAAACGTACCCAATTCGGTTTAGCCGTTTCTGAGATATATGAGATAGCACGCACAAACGCACAGACAAATAGAAAAAAATCTATAAATCAGTGTTTTGCGTTCTATATATATATATATATATATATATATATATAACGTTACGTAATAAAGACCTCCAATAATAGTATCTCAAATAGCTTCCATGTACAGACAGCGATCAGGTACACTTTTATTATATGTTTAGAAATAAGAAAAGAACATAAGTAAGTACATACATTATTTTTAGGTGTATATCATGAATATTTTTTTTATCATTGCATAAAGGTGTGCTTGAAATTCTGACAAGATTGTGTTGAAAAGATAACGTTAGAATCAATATAATAAATTATAAGACATGACAGATATTATTTTATATAACTCATTTATTCGAAAAAGGCTAATTATTATTTATATAATAATATTGATTATTAAAAAAAACTGGCGCCAACATTTCATAATTACGTGTAACACAATAGTTAAACATCTATTTCATAAAAGAAGAAAGAAAAAAATATATAATTATCTACATAATAATAATTATAATTACTCTATTCAATACGCATGTACTTAATTTATTACATTTTTTATGTGAAAAAAAATAATACACAATAAATAATTAATATTAATCAGTATTTTATAATAGCAATCTATATACTTAAACTATATATAGGTACCTAATAATGCTTATTTGACACCATTATATCTAAAAATTTAACAGGTTTTTGCAGAATCTTTCAATTTTTTAAGACTAAATTCAATTTGGCCAAGATATTATAGGAATGCAAAGAAAACCAACGATTCATTATTATTTGACG